CTAGTAGGATTAGGAATGTAATATCCTAATCTAGTTTTACTTCTAATACTTTATAATGGAGTAGGATGAAATGTATAGGATAGATGAGTCATAATTAGAAAATAACACCAAAACCACTTATTTTAAAGATGCATCTTTTTTTAAACAGTGGGAATGATTTTATGGGATGGAGGGAGTATAAAAGTTTGATATATTAAAACCACATTAAAAAGAATATAAGTATACTCTGTATTAAATTTACATTATACGGAGTAACTAAGTAAACTTTTTTTCATACTTTTGTGGTTAGTGTGACTAAAAAGATTAAACTAGGACCATAATCCTTTATATATAAATTTGAGAATTTGATGCATAAGAGCTTGACGTGTGGTACAATATAGGGTATAGATGTGGCAAAATATGGAGCATATTATGTGGTATTTGATTTATGAGCTAGATTCCATTAAATTTTATATGACATGTGATTAAACTTTTATTTTTGGTCAAAAATATAATTATTAAAAATAATTTTTTTAAATAAATCCTTTATATTAAATTATTAAGAATAAAAATATTCAATAAATCCTTTATATAAAGTCATTAAACTTTTATCTTTAGAAAGTTGACATGTGCATTACCTATGTTGCTTTTTACACATAATATGACACATAATTTAAGACATAAAATATGAAAAACTATTTTGGTATGAAATCTTTGAATAAATTTAATTATGAAATATTTATATTCATTAATATAATAATACTTTTTCATGACTCAGTATTTTTTCTTCATTTCAACTACTTAATACGCTACTCTCTTCACCTCTAAATAAATTTCACGTGATTATTTGTTTATGATAAATTAAAATGAAGTTAGTTTTGAATATATTTCTTTCATTATTGATATGAAATAAAAAATGAACAACATATCTTAAAAATTACATTAATCATTTTTAAAAAAAGAGATGGTTGGGTTATAATAATGTTCAAGTATAAAAAATATTACTACATAATATACATAATTTTGTAAGTAATTATTATAATTTTATACTTTTAGTTAATTACAAGAAAATTTATACTTTATAGGCTTTTAGATTCTTTATCATTTAGATGTAAAAATATATTATTATTTTTATTTGCTTTTAGAATATGGTGATTTATTTAAGTAAATTATATAATGTACCTGATTAAAATAAAATTTCATTTCTGTTTATGATATGATTAAATGAATTATATTATTTTATTTATTTGAATATAACAAATAAAATGAAAGATAGATCTAAATTAATACGGAGTATTCTATAAAACAAGAGGTGTCTAGATTATTTTTTAAATGACCAGCGATAAAAATCAAATAAATTTAAAAATATTAGTTCCAAATAATAATGAAAATCCTTGCAATCACACCAAAATGTTATATTCCCCAAAGGCTTTCAAAAAAATATGAATTTTAAAAAGACTTTGAGGTGTTTAATTTTGAATTTATATATAAGGATTTTTATAACCAATTATTAAATGCCAAATTATTTGTTTTGCTTTGATTTTAATGTCTATAGTGTTAAAGAATGCATTACATATATATTTCTATACTCATTTAAAAATATTACATTGAAGATAATTTAAAGAGTAAATTCTATAATTGGTCCTTTATAACAGGGGGGTTTCCCTATTTAGTCCTCTATTATCAAATATTACCCCGGTGGTCCTTCTTTTATGGGTATCTTTCTACAAATAGTCTTTTTTTTTATCTTCTATCATGTTGATGTTAATTTGAGGGCTAAAAGTGTAATTTCACAATGATAATATATCTTTTTTTGTCATACACAATTCCAAAGGCTGTTCCGTTTGCGTCGTTTGTGAATTACAATCGCTTTCTACTCCAACCATAGTCTCCAAATGTGGTCTTTCGTCAGAATCCTAGTCCACAATCATAGTCATTTTTTTGTATTATCTGCTTAACCAATATCAGAATGCGTCACTAGACATAATGTTGATGTCAAATTATACTTTTAGCCTTTAAATTAACACCAACACGACAAAAGATCAAAAAAGGGATCATTTGTGGAAAGAGACCCTTAAAAAAGGACTACGGGGATAATATTTGATAATAGAGGACTAAATATGGAAACTCTCCTGTTATAAAGGACCAATTATGGAATTTACTCTAATTTAAATAATCAATATAAATTTTGTTCGACCCCGTGTGAGGGCGCGGGTTAAATTACTAGTGATGAGATAAATGCGGACAAAATGATTGATTATTCTTATTAACACATGGTAACTGTTTCGAATATTACTCAGATGACTTATTATTATATCGTTTTACACATTTATTATTCATTTGATTTTGAAGAATATTGTCTAAGAGTTTATGAACAATGTTAGGGCGAATGGTGTTGGATATGTTTGTTTCTTAGGTAACCGAGATTTAAAATTAAAATATTTAGACATAAAATACTCTGAAAATTCAAAGAAATAATGAAAATAAATATTGTTTGATTACAAATAAAAAAAATACGATAATAGGCAATTTAGTAACTAACGTAGATAATAATTATACTGAATATGTAGTTTAAATTTTCAAAAGAAAAATGATTCATGCCAATTTGTTTAAAGTTTCCAATATACTTGAACAATTTTTGCGGACTATGCAGTGTAAATTTTCAAACAAAAAAATTCTTGCCAATTTTTAAAAGTTTACGAATAGACTTGAAGAATTTTTAAAAAATTTAGGTAAAATAAGTTTACTCAAATTTGTTATAGTTTGTGAACAAATTTTTATGACAATATTTTGGGGTTTATAATGTAGTTTACGAACAATATAATTTTTTTAGTACATTCCAAAGGATTACATTGTCCATGTACTCTATATTGAATGATGAGATAAATACTTTATGTCGAATGATGAGATAAATGTGGGTAAAATAATGAATAACGCTTACTAGGTCATTTAATGAATACTCACTCCGTCCCTGAAAACCTTTCTCCTTTTTTTTTCATCCGTCTCAAAAAATACTTCTTATTTCTATTAAAAAGTCACTTTTACCCCTTATCTTTTCATACCCTACCTATCAAATCATACATTTTTACTAATAATCTATCTATCAAATCCTACTTTTACCCATCACATCAAAGGACATTTTTGGAAATTCAATACCAAAATATACTCCCTTAAATCTCTTCAAAAAATAAAACATCCCATGTTTTATGGGACGGAAGGAGTATTATTTTTTTGGTTTATCTATATTGTTTACTAACAATATTTTTCAATGTAAGTGGAGTAAACATAATAGCCTTACGCCTAAGGCTATGTGGTGTGTCATTTCCCTCTTCCCTTTTTCTCCTTCTGCCAACTCAATACCACGTCAGCTTAAATTTTCCTTCCCTTTCCTTTCTTTTTTAGAATTAAAATTTCATTAAATTTATCTTCTTAAAAGTCTTACTTTCTATCAACAAAAATACAAAAAACACTAATTTTAAAAAAACTAAAAAATTTTAAAATTAAAATAATAAAGAAATCAAAACTGAAACTACAAAGAAGAACAAAAACTTAAAATAAATACTAAAAATGTTAATAATTAAAATTTAAAAAAAAATGAAGAGAAAAAACTAAAATTGAAAACTAAAAAATAAAACCAAATAAAAAATCGAAGAAGAAGAAGGTTGGCTTGAACGGTGATTCTCCTTCTACGATTAAGACCGAAGCATTAACTTTCCTTCTCCAACCTCCGACCCTCTAAATGCAAACATTGAAATTTTGATCTTCTAGGGCTAATACATGAATTGACTACAGAAGCATATACTCCCTCCGTTCTATAAAAGTGTTCCTATTTTGACTTTGTGTAAAAATAAGGAAGTGTTAAATTGTAGTTGACTTTTAATTTTGCCCTTGATGTGATGGGTAAAAGTAAGATGTGATGGATTGAGTATTTGAGAAAAAACATGATGTGATAGGTAGGGTATGAAAAAGTAAAGGTAAAAGTGGTTTTATAATAGAAAGTGGAAGTGTTTTGGTGGAAGTAAAAAAATGAAAGAGAAAGAGTTTTTGAGAACGGGGGGAGTATTTTTTATTTATTTAAATCGTGAAATTGATTTTCATATATAATGAGAGATCTATTAGAAGCATTACACAATTCCCTAGCATAGAATTTATAAAGTTTATCCTTACTTTCTTAGAGAAGAACGTAGAAAATGATTAGAGAATAACCCAAACTCGAAGTGACTGAACCCGAACCCGACCTGACCGACCGATTTGTCAGCTCTAATTTTGGACAATTGTCATTTTTTCACATTGACAAATTCAATCTTTTGCATCCCACTATTATCACAGCACCTCCAAAACTTACCTCTTTTTTATACTTCTTCCCACACACTGATTAAATCGACATTTTTTTTTCTTCCAATAAAAGTAAAATTATGTGGTTAAAAGTAGTGCAGAGAAGAAAAAATATAATCTCCAAAAACTTTTCTAAGAGTAAAAAATGTATGTAACCTCTTTGCAAGGACATATATATGATAAAAGAAATGTGGAACTTCTTTGTATGACGGAGAGAATGCATTATATTAGATGTATATTTTGTTTAATCCTCTAATAATATCATAGTGAAGAAATATTATAGAATAAAAAAAGAGGAATTTACGTAAATAGCACCAAAACATAATGACTTTCCCTAAATAGCACTACATGTGTTTTTTCCCAATGTAGTACTTTTAGTCATTATTCATTAGTCATTATTCAAGTAAATGTTTGTCATCACTGGTCCTTATGGATATTATTAAGTGCTATTTAGGGAATAAAACAATTTAAATGCTATTTAGAGAAAATGACTTAAGTTTTAGTGCTATTTAGTACAAATATTTCTAAAAAAATTCATATCATCTCGTGTGTGGCACGGGTTAAGATACTAGTATTACTAAAATAAAAAGGACTTTCTCAACTCCAAAATCCATCAACTTTTGGGACGGGGTTGGAACAGGTTCGGTACTATGCGCCCAAAATCACAGTAAACTATGTGTACGCTGTAGGGTTCATGTCCTTTAATTAGAATAAGATTATGACTATTTTCATTTTATGCGTGTAAATTATGACTTGGCAGATTAGATGTGTTTGCATGAGAATTTGCTGACGTATTTTTTAACCTCAATTGCTATGCAGTGGGATGATTCGACGAAAACATAATTATCTAGCCTACCAACAGTAAAACAAATAGCTAGAAAATGATGAATAGAACAACAATAAAGGGGATAAAGTTCTATGTAAGAGAACTGGGTTTAGAACAAATTCAATTAGAGTAGTGTCGCTGCATTCTTCTTCTTCTTCTACTTCTCTTCTTCCTCCAGATCAGAGAAGCTACTGCGCTGTTTCTTCGTTGTCTCTTGACAGTTCCTCCAGAGATTTCCCCTTTGATTCCGGAACCAGTAGAGTGAACACAATGCCCAGAAAGTTGACGACCGCCAAGACGATGAGCGAATTCCTCACCCCGATTCCTGCGGGGTACCCGGCGTCCGCCTTGGACCTGTCCCGCGGCTGAGCCAGGTACAAGAACCCGAAGGACCCTACGATTGCCCCCAATTTCCCGGAAGCCGCCGATATTCCGTGGCAGGTGGACCGCAGTCTGGCCGGGAAGATCTCCGCCGGCACCACGAAGGTGGTGGCGTTGGGCCCGAAGTTGGCGAAGAAGAAGGTGAAGGCGTAGAGGACGACGAACCATATCTGCTGCCCCGGCATTGACCAGTGGGCGTATGGGATCGCTAGCGCGAACATGAATATCGTCATCATGGTGAACCCGATCATCTGGATGGCGAACCTGCCCAGCCTGTCTATGGTCGCCACCGTCACCCAGTACCCGGGGACCGTGCTTAGGAGGGCGATGAGCGTCTGGGCCCTGGATATCTTGAACACCTCACGGGTGGCGCTCATCGTCCTCGCTGGTGGGATCCACCCCACCGCGCTGAAGATGTCCTTCTGGAAGAGATTCTGGCTGTAGTACGCCACGTCCAGAAGGAACCACGTGCTGCACGTGCCCACCAGGTGTAGCCCGTGTCGCCGGGCGAATTCCTTCGTGAACAGCCCGAACAAAGGCGGGGATGATTTTCCCAGGGCATTCGGTTCCGCCCTTTCTGTTGCCTCTATGTCCTCTTGCAGGACCTTTGACATGTCCGCCGCCGCCTTCTCCGCGTTCTTGGCGACCAGGGCGGTGTACCGAGCGGTTTCCGGCATCTTCGCTCTCCAGTACCATGTCAGCACGGCAGGAAGCGCCCCGGCCATGAGTATGATCCGCCACACGTAGTCGGCCTGGGGAGCCGTGGAGGCGATCGGGTCGGCCTCGTAGGAGGGAGCCTTGTAAGCGCGGTCGAAGGCGGCGGAGACGAGCATGGCGACGGCACCGCCGGTGAGAATCCCGAAGCCCTGCATGGCGAAGACGGCGGCGATGAAGGCGCCGCGGTTGCTCTTGCTGGCGTACTCGGACATGATGGTGGCGGAGAGAGGGTAGTCGCCGCCGATCCCGAAACCGAGCCAGAAGCGGAAGAAGCAGAGGGTGGCCAAGGTTTCCCAAGTAGGACTAGGATTATTAATTGGTCATTCCAACCGTGACTCTTCTTATTAATTACAAGTCCAAATGAGAGTAAAACCAAATTCCTACATATGAATAAAAACCATTTTTAACAGAGATTATCTTAAATTCAAGAGATACACCAAACTTAAATTTTGTATACAATGAGTAAAATTTACCTGTGGATAAAAAGCTTTTTCTAAAAATTAAAAATAATTGTTAAAAATTCGCTAGTGCACATAAATAATTGAGACAATTTTTTAGACAAGTAATAATTTATCCTTTATATATAAATTTGAGAGTTTGATGCATAAGAGATTGACATGTGATACTCCGTACAATATTTCTATACGGGAATTTACCTAAATAGCACTAAAACTTAATGATTTTCTCTAAATAGCACCATATGTGTTATTTTCCAATGTAGCACTTTTAGTCATTATCCATTGGTCATTATTCAGGTAAATGTTCATCATCACTCGTCATTATTTCTCCTTATGGACATTATTAAGTGCTTCTGGTCAGTATATATGTGGCAAATTTTGAGACATACTATGTGGCATTTGATTTATGAACTAGACTCTATTAAATATTATTTGACATGTGATTAAACTTTTATTTTTGATCAAAAATAAAATTATTTTAAAAAAATTTTTTAAATAAATACTTTATATTAAATTATTAAGAATAAAAATATACAATAAATCCTTTATATAAAGTGATTAAAGTTTTATGTTTAGAAAGTTCATATATGCATTACTTATGTGGCTGGCTACACCTAGTATGACACACAATTTAAGGCATAAAATATGAAAAACTATTTCAAAATGAAATCATTGAATAAGTTTAATTATGAAATATATATATATATATATATATATATATATATATATATTCATTTTAATACTAATACTTTTTTCTTCATGATTCATTATTTTTTCTTCATTTCTAACAAAATTTTCAATTACTTAATACATTACTTTCTTCGCCTCTAAATAAATTTCACATGATTGTTTGTTTATGATAAGTTAAAATGAAGTTAGTTTTGAATATATTTCAATTCTTTCAATATTGATATGAAATAAAACAACAAACAACATATTTTAAGAATTACATTAATTTTTTTTAAAAAAGGAGATGGTTGGGTTATAATAATGTTCAAGTATAGAAAAGGTTACTATACATAAATTTGTAAGTAATTCTTTTTAATTTATAATTTTAGTTAATTACAAGAAAATTTATACTTTATAGGCTTTTAGATGCTTTATCAATGTAAAAATATATTATTTTTATTAGCTTTTAGGATCTAATAATTGATTTAAGTAAATTATATAATGTAATTGATTAAAATAAAATTTTATTTCTGTTTATAATATGATTAAATGAATTATACGGAGTATTCTATGAAACAAGAAGTGTCTAGATTAATCTGTAAATGATCAACTGCTTAAATCAAATAAATTTAAAAAAATATGTTCATAGGCTTGAATAGTTTCTTATTCAAACATAAAGGAAAAGAGTATTGCATGAGAGTTTGCCAAATGTATTTATAAATTTTCATTCAGAATCATAAGATTGCTAATATTTTTTTGTATTATTTTTTGTTTGAAATAATGCATTAGAGAACAATCATTGAAATTTCAATGTTTATTATTTAATTTGTTTTTTTAAATCATACAATGCATAATTCAAGATTTGACAGTAAAGTTAACCAAGACAAATAATCAATATACGTATGGAGGGTAAAGAACACTTGTTATTTTTGGATTAAGAATTATATTTTAAGAAAAATCCCTAGATAGAGGTAAAAAATTATCAAAATACCAAAATATGAGTCTTAAATCTTTTAATACCAAAATATTAGTATAATGACATGATAATGTAAGAGTATACATTGGAGTGTGATTTAAAAGTGATAACAATAAGGCATGTGTTATAAAATAAAGAAACACTATTTTTAAATTTGTAACTTTTCCTCCTTTAATGTATTAACTTTTAGCATGGATATATTAAGCGTTTACATACTTTTGTATAGCTTTTTCCCATAAATAATTCACTCAAAGTAATAATGTAAAACAATTCTAAAATATACAAACCAATGTAAAAATTATTCATAAAATTTGAAACTAAAATAACATTACCATTGAATTTAATTAGAAAATTGAAACAAAAAAATGAAAAGAAAAAAAAAGAAAAAAAACCATAAAATTTTGGTTAAAGAACAAAAATTAGAGACCTTTTTCAAAGAATATTAAAATATATTGGGAATATGATTTTTTTTAAAAGTCAAATCTTATAATTTTAATAAAACATTAAATATAGTAATTTGCAATATTACTTGCCTTTTTTTCAATTCTAAATCTTATAAATTGAATAAAACATTAAATATAGTAATTTACAATATAACTAGCTCTATTTTTAGATTTTTTTACTTAAATCACTCAATTTTAGAGACATATTAATAAAAATAATTGATACCTTAAAATTCAATTACAAAATGTTTACATATAATTCAAGAAATGTGTCATTTCATCTATCATCATCACTCAAGCTTAAATACACACGTGTGTTCAAACAAGATTAATTTTTTGATTAAAAATTAGAATAAATATTTGAACTTTATTTTCTTTTTTTAAGTATAGTTGGTAGGACCATCCAATTTTTTTATAACAATTGAAAACATGGAAAATTAGCTTAATGAGAGATAGAAGAGATCAACTAGAAATGCAAGAGAAAAGAAAATTAAATATTTCAACAAAAAAGCACATAAAAAGGTGCATATCTTTATTACTATTGTTTTATTTTAGCAATTCAACATACATCTATCACAATCAAAAATATCTTTTGGAGGTTTCCTAGGAGCTTTAGATTTTTTACGCATGCTTCTTTTTTATATAGTATCATAATTAATGCACACACAATTAAAAATTTTGAAAATAACTAGATTAAACAAAACATTGGTGGCTATAATTTCTTCTTTATTTTTGAGGCAACAAAGACCATTGATAGGCCGCGTGGAATGTATGCCAATAGGAATAGAAAATCTGTACTACTTGAAAATACTATTAGTGGTCTAACGGGGATCTACAAGCTATCAGAGCTTGAAGACAGTTACCAATAATGTTACACAAACAAACTCATTCGACAATGCATGTGAAATATTGGAGTTATTAACCAATGATAAAGAATTTATTGAAGATAAAATAGCCTACTGAGCTAGGATCTCAAGTCAGCTAAGAAAGTTGTTAGTCATATTATTAGTGACAAATATCATGAGTCGTTCTTAAATTGTTTTGGAAAATTATGGGAGCTCTTAATTGATATGAGACTTTATGTGATTGATGAAATTGCAAAAGTAAGGTCTCTAATTTCTATAAAAAGGTACTCCATCCGTCCCATTTTATAACGCCTGATTCGGTTTACAATGTTTAACTGAAATTATTTTCAAATCATTTTATATGACAAATGATATAGAGTTAAAAAATAAAAATTACATATTAAAATACTACATCAAAAGATCTAAAAAAACTAGTAGTGGCAATAGTATTTTATTTTATCAAATTAATAACGAAAATAGAGAAAGAAAGTGAATGAAGTTTAACCTTGTGAATAGTGAACAGACATTATAATTTAGGATGGAGGGAGTAATTTTTTTTATTTATATAAAGATCAATATGAAATGTACTTCGTATGATATATATACAAAACTTTAGACGTGAGATAGGGTTAAAATCTAATGATTTACACCCATTTTAACCATATTTGTAGAACTTATTATTTTTCAAGAAGATCTAAAAACTTTATACTCCCTCCATCCCAAAAAGATTGGAACATTTTGACTAAAGTGGTAGAATAAGCAGGGATAATTTTGTGTTGACTTTTCAAAAATGCCCTTAATGTGATTGGTAAAAGTAGGATGTGATAGGTAGATTATTAGGAAAAAGGTATGATGTGATAGGTAGGGTATGAAAAAGTAAGGGGTAAAAGTGGTTTTTTAATAGAAATTGGACAAATTTTTTGGGACAGAGGGAGTATTTGATTGAGATTGATAAGTTACTTAATTCAAAAAGATGATCCTTATAAGAGTTTAGTGATATGCCATTCCGAGATGATAATCCACTTAATAGATTTTAAAATAATATCTTGGTAGAGGAGTTAAACTATGACAAATAAAAGTTGTCATATGATCTTAAATACTCACTCCATCCTAAATCCAACTTCCCAGATTAGGGATTGATTAATATGGCTTTGACTACCAAAAATGACCCTCCATCTAAACCCGAAAACATAAAAGTTTTTGTCTTTTCCAGTAATTGGGCAGTGTAAACAGTGGCCAGGCGGCCTGCTCGCCAGCGATAAAAGACTTTTTACCTGATGGATATAATCCACTAGTACCACCCGGCAAGTTCACAGGCGCCCGGGGGTACCAAATTCTGACCCCACATGACCTCACCAACCCCGGTAGACTGACTGGGTGGATGTCGGGGGTTAGACATGTGAGATCGTGACTAAATTTGCATAAGGCTTAAAGTCTGACCAGACTTGACCTCACCGTCCCCGTTAATCTGCCGGGTGGATGGCTTGAAGACTGCCTGGGTGGATGGCTTGAAGACTGCCCGGGTGGATGACTTGAAGACTGCCCGGGTGGATGACCTGAAGACTGCTCGGGTGGATGACCTGAAGACTGCCCGGGTTGATGACCTGAAGACTGTCCAGGTGGATGACCTGAAAACTGCCCGGGTGGATGACCTGAAGACTGGATGGCTTGAAGACTGACCGGCCGGAAGAACAGGAACGTCGGGACGTGTTTGACGTGCTTGTTTTTTTATAAATACCCCTAAAAGCCTCATTTGTGAGGCATGCTTTAATTAATCTGTACGGCTTGTACTTTGTAATAGTCCCATTATTATCAATAACAAACCGGGTTACATGTGTTTCCACCTACAGCCTTTCCGATCACTTATACTTAGCATTTGCGTGGTAATTTACACCATCAAATTGGCGCCACCCGTGGGACCTCTTTACAAAAAGAAGCCATCAACAATATGGAATCCATCATTTCCCAAACTTCCACCCCAGCAGAGGGCGTTACCCTTATCCCGGGAGGAATCACATCATTACCTTCTCTCTTCTCCCCCATGATCACCACCTTCACTACTCAAACAGCCCCGGGTCAGGCCCTCCAAAACTTTGGACAAATTATGCCCATTTTCCAACAACCCAGGGGATTTACTCTTTTCATCCCTGGGATGTATCCACATGCTTTTGTCCAAAATACATCTCTTCCCAACATGTTGGGGCATCCCCGGTCGTTTCAAATGGTCAGTACCTCCCGATCGGTCACCTCGACAAATCTAGCCGGGGAGCTGGAAAGGGCAGGCCCTTCTCGGCCTAGGAGGAGCAGATCCCACAAGCTCCACACTCAGGTCATACCCGATGAGGACGTGCGCTCTGTGCGCAGCAGGGATGAAGACTCAGATATTCCCAAAGGCCAGAAAAAGCTGCAGGGCAAAGCCGTCCAGCCAGAAGGTTCACGACGGTTAGTGTTCCAGAGGGTGGGACATGAGGGGCGGAACTAGAATCGACCGGCCAAGGAGCGGTTGGGGGTGAAGGTTTCCAAGCCAGGCAAATTCTTTAGGCGAGAAGGTGGTAGGCGACCCGGTCAGACCGGGCGCTTTGACCCTCATCTATGTGATGAGCCCCAACACAGCAGGGTGCCTAGAGCGAAGGGCCAAGCAAAAAACCAGCCCAAAGTTGCGATGCGCAGACATGTTGAACCACCCAGCAACTGGGTGGACATGGAGGAAGAACGTTTGGAGAGGCTCTTGAAGAGAGTTCGTCGGGAGGAGAAGAAGAAAGTGGTGTTGAACAACCATTTTATCATCCGCTAAGACCGGATATGTACCATGCCAAGGTTCAATAAAGTTGATCTTTTTTCTCAAAATACTTCTCGCAAGATCGGTAAGGAAAGGGTTACAAACATATCCTCCCGGTGAATGTTCAATCGAACTTAGCATTTAAAAAAACAACTAGTCAAATGGATGAACCGTATCGACGCGGTCAAAAAATAACACTTGAACTTTTTCTGAAAAGATTATTTTCAAAACCACCCGGGCGGAACTCCATACCTTTTCAGAAAAGATGGTAAGACCGGTCGGGGAAGGTTGTAGACCCATATGCCTCGTCAGTGTTCAATCGAATTGAGCATTACAAAACTGCCCGGGCGGAACACCATACTTTTTCAGAAAAGATGGTATGACCGGTCAGGGAAGGTTGCAAACCCGTCTTCCCGGTCAATGTTCAATCGAATTGAACTCAAAAAAAATATGTGACACAGGCCCGGCCTGGTATGCTGGTCTCACACCAGTCTTGCACATATTAAAAAAAACATTGCGACCTAGTCGAACTGGTACACTGGTCTCACACCAGTCTTGTGCAGTATAAATAAAAAAATAAAGAAAATATGTGACCCAGTCGAACTGGTACACTTGTCTCACACCAGTATTGCATATATTTTCCAACAAGCCTGAGCCCAATCGAATTGGGTACACCGGTTGCACATCGGTTTCAGCAAAAAAAAGAGCCCGATCGGACTAGGAAACATCGGGCCTACCCCGATCTTCGACATCTTTCCCTGAACACTTTTTCACCTGGGCAAGGTCATGGTGAACCAACCTACCCAGGATAAATAAAAAACTAAAACTGCCCACCCAATCAAGATTCAGACTCGGGAGAGCGACGGGGTCACGATGGATTCGCTTAACTTGGCACGGAGGACTTTTTCAAGAATATGTTCCTTTGTTTGCATGGCCAAAACCATGAATGGAAAGAATTGATTGCCTTGCTCACTCGGAGGACTAGAGCTCTTGTTCACCCGGGTGAAAGAAGAAATGACTCACATGATCAACTTTTGAAGCATAGCCCGGGCATGCTCTATCAAAACCCACCCGGGTGGCTTATTTTCTACTCAGGTAGAAAGAATGGTGAGATGCGTTAGACTGGGTAGATTCAGCTCGGCCGTGAACAAAGAGATTGAGAGTTCGAACGGCTGGGTCAAAATCCTGCAGCCGGTTGCTCAAGATCCCGTACGGCCACGGTGCTTTTGGTACTGACCGGTTCCAAACCCATAGATCCCAATGTCATCAATCAGTTGATGTGACACTTGGAAGAACCGGATGCCGACCTCCCGGTCAGAAAGTGCCCAGGCAGCAAACTTCTCCGGTTTCTGCGCAGCCTAAGTAGTGGCGTGAACAGCCTGGTCGGAGCGCTCCCTCTCCAGCTCAGCCTTTAGCTTGGCATTCTCCACCTCCAGCTAACCTGTCTACCCGGCCTTCATCTGGAGCTTCTCATCTGTCAAAGCATCTGACCAGCCGGGTGGCCCACTCCTGCCCGATCCTGGAAGAGGAAACGACGTGATGACTAGGCGGCGGCGAACTAAATTTCCGTAAAAACTTTTCCGCTAACCATTCCTCTGGATTCAAAAAATTCAAAATTATTCAGACATTTGATTCCCGCCCTTGATGGTGCCCACAAAGCCGAGAATCGGAGGACGCCTTGATGGATATAATCCACTAGTACCACCCGGCAAGTTCACAGGCGCCCGGGGGTACCAAATTCTGACCCCACATGACCTCACCAACCCCGGTAGACTGACCGGGTGGATGTCGGGGGTCAGACATGTGAGATCGTGACTACATTCGCATAAGGCTTAAAGTCTGACCACGCTTGACCTCACCGTCCCTGTTAATCTGCCCGGGTGGATGGCTTGAAGACTGCTCGGGTGGATGGCTTGAAGACTGCCCGGGTGGATGACTTGAAGACTGCTCGGGTGGATGACTTGAAGACTGCCCGGGTGGATGACCTGAAGACTGCCCAGGTGGATGACCTGAAGACTGCCCGGGTGAATGACCTGAAGACTGCCCAGGTGGATGACCTGAAGACTGCCCGAGTGGATGACCTGAAGACTGGATGGCTTGAAGACTGACTGGCCGGAAGAACAAGAACGTGCTTGACGTGCTTGACGTGCTTGTTTTTATTATAAATACCCCTAAAAGCCTCATTTGTGAGGCATGCTTTAATTAATCTGTACGACTTGTACTTTGTAATAGTCCCATTATTATCAATAACAAACCGGGTTACAGGTGTTTCCACCTACAGCCCTTCCGATCACTTACACTTAGCATTTGCGTGGTAATTTACACCATCATTACCCATAACTAACATGTCTGGCCCGATCAAAAAGCACAGCTACTAATGAAGCGGCATGTAAATGTGGCCAAATGAGAAAACCATTGATGAGTAACATATTGAATAACCAATGAAAATAGGACTCGATTCTGATATAGAAAAAAAAAATTAAAAAAAAAACTTTAGACGGATATAGAAAAACATACCTAGATCAATTTCCGATTGAAGGTAGCGGCTAAGGAAGCTCATCACCATCTCCAATTCCGTGAAGCTATTTAGACTTTGAATCACATACCAACGAATTTATTACTCCTACCAGTGTCCTTCCTGCAACCCCAATCCCTAGATCTTGAGTGGAGATGTTGAGATGCTGAAATTTTGAGTGTGGAGGTGGATCTGATGATGATGAGATGATCTCAAGAACGGCGATGGTTACAAATTTGATTCCTACATTATATCTAGGTTTTGAGGAGGGGAATTGAAAGAGAGACGGAGATAAGATGGAGAAAGAATGTCGATAGAGTGGGAAGGTTGAGGAGTGGATGTTGTAATAAGGATAGGATTGTCATTTTACACCCTTTTTGGGATGTGGGAAGGTAATTTTAGAACATTAAAAATGAAGAAGTGGGAAGATAGTTTTAAGACGGAGGGAGTAATATATATCTACAATGAATGAAAACCAGAGGAAAATATACAACGATGAACATTTTGTGTTTTTGTTATAACTATGGATATGATAAAAGTCAATGTCAAATATTATCATTTGTTGGATTATTTTTAACTGGATTGAAGTTCACTCCTAGTTAACTTTATGTCATTATTTCCACTTTCGTTTTTTTCCAATTTCCTAAAACACTTCCACTTTCAATTAAAAAATCACTTTTACCCCTACTTTTTTATACCATACCTATCACATCATACTTTTTCACTAATAATCAAAGTATCACATCTTACTTTCACTCATCACATTAGGGGCAAAATTAGAAAGTCAACCAAAATTACATTTTCCTTATTTTGGCCCAAAGTCAAAATAGGAATGGTTTTAAGGAACGGAGGGAGTATATTCCTCAAAGGCTTTCAAACCAAATATATATGAATTTTAAAAAGACTTTGAGGTGTTTATTTTTGAATTTATATATAAGCATTTTTATAACCAATTATTAAATGCCAAATTATTTATTTTACTTTGATTTTAATGTCTACAGAGTTAAAGAACGCATTACATATATTTCCATAGTCATTTAAAAAATATTACATTGGAGACAATTCAAATAATCAATAAAAATTTTGTTCGACCCCGTGCATGACACGAGTTAAATTACTAGTTTTAAAAGAAAGGGAGTATATCTTTGTGAGGATTAGAAATTAGTGAAATTTGCATTGAATATGACTAAAACATAAGTCATTTCTCAATGTAGGACTTAAACTTTTTTATTCCCTAAATAGGACTTAATAATGACTAGTGAGAAAAATAATGTTCAAGTGATACTGGACATTTAGTTAAATAATAACTAATAGATAATGACCCATGGTTCTATATTGAAAAATAAAAACATAAAGTTTTATATCGAGGAAGTCATTATGTTTTAGTCCTATTTAGGTAAATTACCCTAAAAATTATGTGTGAGGGCGGGGGTTTATGATGAATAAAAAATAGCTTTTGTAAATATAAAAAAATTCGTAACATTAAGGGTGTTGGGAAAGAGTTTTTTTTGCAAAAGAAAAAATGACATGAAGAAAGAGAAAACGAGTGAAAAAGGAATCAAAAATTCCAAAAAACCCTTATGAATAATCACTTTTCTCTCGCTCTCTCTCTCTCTCTTTGTCTTGTTTTTGATTGTTTTGGTTGTATCATCTTTTTCTCGTCCCCTCCCTGCCTCCATTCACATCCCCCACTTAATAGTCCCAAACTCCCTCAAGTGTCTTTTTCCCACATATGCTTCACACAAAAGAAACAACACCAACACCCACTACTTCACCCCATTTTTGTAAATATGCCATTTCTCTCCTCCATCATCATCATCATCTATCCCACATCTCCACCAGTCCTAATACTACATACTCCCCTTCAAAACATATACCCTAAACTCTCTCTCATCTACCTCTAAATCAACAACCTAACCACCCCATGTTCTTCCATGCTACATACCATATATATTAACCAGAAAAAGAAAAAGCCCAATAAAGCTTATTAAGTGTGTTTATCTTAGCTTATTGAACAGTAAGCGGTGGCTGGCCGGAGGAGGATGGAGCTATTCCCGGCGGCAAAGCCAGATCTGTCTCTGAGGATCAGCCCGCCGACCGGCAAACCACCGGGAACAACCCACGATCACAAAACAGACCGCTCCATGTTTAAGCCTTTTTGCCATTTCGACCTTTCCCTTGGGAATCTTAATCAGCATCAGCATCCGCATCTCTTTCGGAAACACCAAACGGGCAATTTCGACCTCGGGTTCTTGCCGCGGCCGATTAGAGGAGTCCCCGTCTACTACTATAATCCCGCACGTGCTGTCCCTTTTCATTCTCCTGTTGGCAATAATAGCTTTCTTACGACTGATCCTCCAGCAGAAGCTGCCGTGCCGCCGCCGTCGTCTAGCGGAGGCCACCGCAACGGTCATCCAGCTGCATCGGGGCCAGGGGGGATTCGGTCGGGGTTTCGGTGGTCATCGAGATTTCCGGCGAGACGGAGGACGAGAAATCCAAGGATGCGGTGGACGAGCAGTCTCCATGCTCGGTTCGTTCACTCGGTTGAGCTCTTGGGTGGCCACGAAAGTATGTTGTAGACTTCATTCCTTCTTTATTTACTCCCATGCCTTTATTTATTCCCCATGAAACATGAGACTTTTGCTTTTTAGGAGAGATTTAAAGGGAGTGTATTTTGGTATTGAATTTCCAAAAATGTCCTTTGATGTGATGGGTAAAAGTATGATTTGATGGATAGATTATTAGTAAAAAAGTATGATACGATAGTTAGGGTATGAAAAAGTAAGGAGTAAAAGTGACTTTTTAATAGAAATCAGAAGTGTTTTGTGGGACGGATAAAAAAAGAAAGAAGAAAGGTTTCATGGGACGGAGGGAGTATTTCATTGATTAATACCAATATTTTTTAACTTTCACGGTAAATTAGAAATTTACGGACTAAAATATAATGTTTTTCCGAATATATGATCATATGTCCATTTTTACTGGATATTATTCCTTCCATTAGACATTATTAAGTCATATTTAAGGAATAAAAAAAGTTTAAGTCCTACATTAAAAAATAACTTATGTTTTAGTCTTATTTAGTGTAAATTTTACTTTTAAAAAACTATAATATAAACTGTATTAGTATAAATAAATAATTTAATTAGATTTAATCTATTTAAGACTCAATATTTTATTTTATTATGTTAAAAGGCAAACCAAATGAATCCATTGGAATAGAGGGAGAATCACGTACTCATGCGGTTTCAAATCAAGTTAGTCATTTAATAAAATAACATAATTGTACTATCACTAATTTTGAAGATCTTTTAAAAATATCTACACGTACTCCTGCTGTTTCAAAATATTTTGGTTTACTATTTTTGTTATAAAATTGCTATCACTAATTTTGAAATTCTACACCATTTTTCAAATATAATCATTTAAAAAATATTTTAGTCAAACACCGTAAAACAAAATAGACAATTTAAATTGAGACGGAGGAGTACTATATAGTGATATAAAATTTATTACTAGTACAATAATTTGACCATAAACAAAGATAATTTGGAAATATATTTTTGAAAAATCATATTTTCATAATATATGAGAGTATAAAAATAGAAACGTTAATGGTCAATATATTACATGAAAGCTTGCGAATAGTATAGTACTCCCTCCGTCCGGAAATATTTTTCCCACTTTCCTTTTTGGCACCGGCCCGTCTGAAAATATTTTTCTCATTTCCTTTTTTAGTATACTTTTTAAGGATAAATTTCAATAATACCCTTCTATTTTATCACCAATCTACTTTTTTATTACTTTTTAATAAGAAAAGGATATCTAAAAGTTAATAATACGTGTATTTTTGGAAATTTGGTTTTTTTTACTATTTCTTAGTAAACGTGCCAAGTCAACACGAAAAGGATATTTCCGAAGGGAGGGAGTATATATAAGACGATGGAAATATTATTGATACTCGTCTTTAAATTTATACTTCCTCCGTCCTAAAATTTACTTCTCATTTGACTTTTCACGGTCTCTAATACGACACTTTGACTATCAATATCTCAATTTTTATATAAATATATTTTATAAAAATTATATATTTCAAAACTATTTTTCAAAATAAATATATTGCTAATAAATTTATATGAAAATTCAATATGTTTTTTCCGTAATATATGGTCAAAGTTTAAAAAGTTTGACTACAAAAGTTATCACTTGCATATAGTGAAGAGTGAAGCCCTACCTATCAGCTTAAGCTTTTGGGTTAGAATTGTGGATCCCGACTTTATATGCAAGTGGTTAATTTTACCCGACACTCTATCCGTTGTTCTTGGCCCGCCGGAATTATAACATGGTATCAGAGCAGGTCCGGTCCGGGTTTGATTGTTCCTGGTTGTTTAGATGTGGGTTTAGCAAAAAAGAGCTACCCGTATGTGGTTTGGGCTGAGTTGACTAAAAAGAGATTGAGATGCCACCGCCAGTTGTGTGGGCTAGCTATAAGAGATTGAGATGCTAGACCCGTTTGTCTAAGTGCTAACTGGGCCAGGCTAGTTACCACTTGCGGGGGAGTGTTGGAGTTTCCAAATCGGAAAATAAAGATGAGTATCACTTGCATATAGTGAAGGGTGAAGCCCTACCTATCAGCTTAAGCTTTTGGGTTAGAATTGTGGATCCCGACTTTATATGCAAGTGGTTAATTTTACCCGACACTCTATCCGTTGTTCTTAGCCTGCCGAAATTTTAACAAAAGTCAAACTGAGAAGTTAATTTTGGGACGGAGAGAGTATTTCTTATTGAGATATTTGCAATTTAAAGATAGTTAATACGTAGCATTCGGTAATTAATACGAGTAAAACAAATTTTTCCTCATGCATGTGGAAATGGGTAATTGTTTGTGTAGGAGCAACACCAAAGTCAGTTCTGGAGCTAATGGACGTCAAAGATCTCACCTTGGCTCATGTAAAATCCCATTTACAGGTAATTAATTCAAATGGTTTCTTCATTTAATTTTACTTTGAAATTGCCTTTGTATATATAGGGAGTATTTTGAAATTTCAACCTCTGTCAAAAGTTTGGGATTCGGAGTCATACTGTCATAGGCAAGTACGTACAGACTGCTTTTGTTGATGGGTGTAAATCTGCACAGGCATTCCAAATTCCAATGTTCCTTTTCACTGTACTTGGGTCTTGGAGTACTTAAAAATGACCAATTGAATTCATGGAGTTTTAAAATGTTTAAAAACAATATTTTTCATTTTCAATTAAATTCTTGTTTTTATATTTACTAACTACTCCCTCCGTTCTAAAAAAAATTTCTTCTTTCATTTTTTTCACTTCCAACAAAACACTTCGGGGCTGTTTGGCAACTTCTGAATAGGTAAGTGCTGAACCATTAAGAGCTAATATTGCTTAACTATTCAGAGGCAAATGTCTGATCAATTCAGATAAGAAGTCTTAACCATTCAGACTCTGTATAATACTTAACCATTCAGAGGCAAATCTCTTAACCATTCAGACATCTGAACCATTAAGAGGCTGAAACAAACAGTCTGAACCATTAAGTGCGGAACCATTCAGATATCTGAACCATTAAGAGGCTGAAACAAACAGTCCCTTCCACTTTCTATTAAAAAACCACTTTTACCCTTACTTTTTCATACCCTACATGGCTACATATCACATCATACTTTTTCTCTAATAATCTATACATCACATCTTACTTTTACCCATCACATCAAGGGCAAAATTGAAAGTCAACTACAATTTAACACTTCCTTATTTTTCCACTTTTTTAAAGTATGAACCCTTTTTGAAAACGGAGGGAGTATTAAGTTATTTATCACATTATCTTTATTATTACTCTATCACATTATATAAGTAAGTCAAAATTAGAAGATATTACTAAAGTTAATTACATAGTCCATCCGTCCGAAAATGTAAGCCACAGTTACTATTTCGGCCTCTCAATAACTTTTTTTTGTTTACTTGTTTTGGCGGTGTATTTGATAAAATAAAGTATTTTTATCGCATCTTGTTTTTTGTAAAACTTTTGATCTATTTTTTAATGCTGTAGTTTTTACTTTTCAATTGGGGCATGTTATTTTTACAATAATACTTATATACAACAATCCTGTAACAATTCAATTGGGGTACCTATGGAGTCTCGTTTGTAAAATTGATAGTTTATATCCCACCTAACACTCCTTCTAAACCCCCACCCAGCCTCCCACCCCATCCCCCATGCACCCCCACCCCCTCCCTTAATCACTGTTTTGGCAGTTTTAGGTGCAGGGTGCAGGGGTGGGGGTAGGGGCGGGGGATGAGTGAGGGTTTAGGAGGGTGTTGAGGGTAGAAACTACTTCATCCGTCCACAAATAAAATTTATATTACGCGTTACGATGTTTGACTGAATTTATTTTTAAATCATTTTATATGAAAAATGGTGTAGAATTAAAAAATAAAAATTACATATTAAAAAACTATATCAAAAGATCTACAAAATTAGAGGTGACATGACTATATTATTTTATCAAATGGGTGATGAAAATAGGACAACAAAGTGAATAAAATTTGACCATGTGAATAGTGAACGTAAAGTTTATTAGTGGACGGAGTGAGTATTAATTTTTTGAACGGGACATCATATAGAACTGGTTCGATGGTCGACTAAGAGAGATAAATTAAAGTTTAACCACAAGTTGGGAAAAACCTCAATATTTCTCATTTTATAGCATAAAATCTAGTATTTTATGAAACCCATCGGAAGGAGGATTTGTATTATTGAGTGTGATTGTATTAATATTGTTGTGTGACTCGAAACAAAGTCGAGGCATATGTCAATTCTCAAAGAAAAAGAAAATAGAGAGTAGAAATAAGTATAATGATTACTATCTCCGTCCCAGTGTATTTGTTCAGTTTGACTTTTTTGAGTTAAACTGGACAAACATTGAATTCTAATTACTCTTAATTTATATTGCATATTAGCATAATGAAATATAATTTTGAAAGTGCTCAATACGATAAATCTAATAAAGTCATTTTTACGTTAAGATATATTACAATTTTTATTTAATTGAAGCTCAAAATTTGTCCAATTTGACTCAAAAAAGTCAAACTGGACAAATACAGTGTGACGGAGGGAAATTAATAATAATGAAATGAGAAAGAAGCAAATAAGACAGGCGAATTAGACTGAGATTGGTCATAATATTTGCTACGCCAAGACAAGTTTAAAAACAGTTCCACTTTTTCCTTTTTCTTTTCTGGGTAGGATTTTCTTTTTTAATGCATTACAGGTAGAGAGAAAAGTACACAACACTATGATGCCTCAATGATATCAGTATATATCTCTGTCCGTGGGGTTTAAATTTACAAATTCACTGCCCCAAAACCCTTGGGACTCACACACACTCTACATTGACATTCACCCCCTCGCCAAATATTTAGTATAGATTTTTTCATTAAGTGTTACACGAAGTTTGATTGATTTTATTTTTTAATACGAAGTATATTTTTTATTCCATGCGCAAAATTTAAAAAAAAATTGTATTGCAAAAAAATTCATGAAATATTCTGCAAAATAAGATGACACAAGACTATACTATTTTATAAAATTAGTAATTAAATAAATAAAGTTAGTTGAGTTTGACCTCATAAATAGTACTCCGTATCTGAGAAAATATATGTGGGATGGAGGAGTAATATACTTTCCCTGCTTTAAAAATAAAAAGTAAAAATTACATAATCCAAATTGCATTGATACAAACAATAAATTAATTATTAATTTGATCGTTTACAATAATTTTTGTTAATTTTATATTTTTATTGAACATTTGATAAAATAAAATATTATTATATCCTCTTATTTTATAAAACATTTATATATTCTTTAACGGTCTTGTTTGTACTCTGTTTTTCTATACCAATTATAAGGGTCATGCTACACTTACACCAAAAATTGTACCCCATTTGTACACCGCAGTTATACACAAATATTTTGATAGTTTACACTGACATAAGTGTTGGTGCGTTAACAAAAATTTACACGGACACAAAGTGTTGGTGCGTTAACAAAAATTAGTTTTACACCAACACAAAATGTAGGAACAAACCTACAGTGTACAAAATGAGGTACAAAAGTTTGGGGTACAATTAGCTTTATCCCAATTATAATTATCAAAATTTGAAAAGTGATGAGATTTGAAGTAGGATATATAGATGGATTATGCGATGTGTACCCCAATTTGTACTCTGCAGTTTTGCACCAACACTTTCTGTTAGTGTAAAACTAATTTTTGTTAAATGCACCAACATTTGTGTTTGTTGAATTTTTATTAACGCACCAACACTTGTGTTGGTGTAAACCATCGAAATGTTTGTGCAAACATGTGATGTACAAATGAGATATATTTTATGGTGTAAGTGTAGCATGGTTCTATATAGATAGATAAGTTGTTCACATGCAAAAGCCATTCATTATTTGACTCTTTCTCCTGGCATGGAGTTGTATGCATCAGACTTCTGGTAGGCAGTACTGCCAACATTTTCTTTTGGGCTGATGAGTACAGTAAATCAAATTGTATGTTTTCACCGATGAACGATTCAATGTACCACCTCCATCCTAATATAATTTTTTCTTTTATTTTTTACACGGTCAAATTTTAATCGTTTTTTACCTATTTTCATTAGATATTTGATAAAATAATATATTTTTGTCCTTACTTGTTTTGTAGAACTTTTGATATAGTTTTTAAATATATAAATTTTATTTTTTAATTTTACACATACAATCAAAGAAAATTAAATTGAAAATAAAGTCGGTCAAACCTTGCAAACAGAAACGAGAAGAACATTATAGGACGAAGAGAGTAGTAATTAATGACATCCTTTGATATTAGCCCTTCCCATTAGTTTTAGTTTTATAAATAATTATTCTGTGCCTCTAAATGATTTAATATTTTACTATTCAAAAATTGCAAAAAATTTGACTTATTTGTATGTTTTTATTGACTATTTAATAAAATAAAATATTTTTGTCACCTCTTTTTTTAAAAAACATTTGATGTACGTTTTAAATATGTAACTTTTATTTTTTTAATTTATATATCAATCTTAAAATAAAATGAAAAAAATCATCCTAAATAGGAGTAAAATATAGAGAAAGTATCAAAATATAAGTTCCATATTTTTATTTTCTAAATAGGAATGTCTACTGTGGTAATGTGACACTATACATGAGCATTAGACTATTTTTTTTGCTAATGCACATGTTCATGATTGATAATGTAAATAATGCATTATAACTCATATTTCGAGAAAAAAAAAATATAAAACTTATATTTTGGTATATCATCAATACTTTATACAAATCACCCTAAATATGACTAAAACATAGAGAAAAGTACCAAAATAAGACTTTCATGTTTTTTTTTCAAAATAAACTTTACACTGTGGTAATGTGATTGTAATGTACATGTGCACATTACTATACTTTTTGATAATGTGCATAACAATATTTGGTAATGTAAATGCATTTTAAGTCCTATTTTAGAAATAAAAACATATAAGTCCTATTTTCGTATATTTTTAATGTTTAGTCCTACTTTAGTCTTTCTCCCAATATTTTACTCCTACTTTAGTCTTTTTCCAAAGAAATCTCTTTGGGTATGAGTAAAAAAAACCTCTTGGGCAAGTGCTTTTTTCCAAAGAAATCACTTTACGGCCATGAGGTCTTGGGTTCGAATCTTGGGCATGTGCTTTTTAAAAAATGTTTACAAAAAAAACTAGTTCCGGCGGTGAAACCGGCCGGTTTTCTCCGGTTCTAATTGGTTTCTACTGGTTCAATGCGAAAGCTGGTCTGATTGCCTGGACCGGACCGGTTTGATGTGCGGTTCACCGGTTCCCGGTCCGGTTTTTAAAACTATGATGATTATAATAACAGTGTGTGTAAGAGAACTTGTTGACAGTGTAATGAAAAACTAACTAATGACAATGTAATATGTGAGTGTGATCTGTCTGTCATCGGTGATCTGTGGTGGCACTCAAGGGGCCATCGGATGGCAGTGCAACAGTTATAATGTGACACTGTGGTGAGTGTGACAATGTAGCATTGAGAGTGTGAACTTCTATTTTGGTCTTAAAAGTCTTATTACTCCTATTTTGGTATTTTCATAGTTTTTACTTCTATTTAGGGAATTCTCCCTAATTTTTTTGTATATTTAAATACTAATTAATTACTTCCTCCGTCCCATAAAAATGTTCCCGCTTTGACTTTTAGGAAATAATTCCCCTATCCCGAATTAGATTACAAACGTTTTTCCCTATCCTCTTGATAATTTTTAATTATTTGTGTGTTTTCATTGAATATTTGATAAAATAAAATAATCTCGCCAGCTCTCGTTTTGTAGAACTTCTGATGAAATTTTTTAGTATGCAATTTTTAATTCTTATTGATGTATGAATTTGTATATAAAATAATTTCAAAAGGCGATATATTTTGCCTCGTAACTCCTAATTTGTAATCAGATTAGGGACAAAGGGAATATAAGGGAAGGAAAGTTGTATTGACTTTCCCGAAATATATACCCGTCATGATGTGTAAATGTAAAATGTAATAGATAGATTATTAGTAAAAAATGTATGATGTGATAGGTAGGGGTGTATATGAATCGAATCGAAGCAAATATATCACTATTCGATTCCTATTCGATTAAAGTGATATGTATTCGAATTCGGATTCGTATATAATTTGAATTTTAAAAAACATTCGTATTCGATTCGATAGATATTTGACATATTTGATTCGTATTCGAATATTCGAATTCGAAAATATTAGTAATTTTTTTCTTAAAACAAATTTCTTAAAGATATTAAATTATTATTTTATAATAATGTAAAATGTAGTAAAAATTAAAATGTAGTAAAAATATGTTAGAATATATATAAATTTATTTATAAATTATAATATTCGAATATATATAAATTTATATGTACAAAAATATTTAATATATTAGAATATACTCCGTATATAAATTTATTTATAAATTATAATATTCGAATAATTTGAATAATAAACGAATCGAATCTATTAATATTTGTATTCGAATTCGAAAATAATTCGAATCTAAAATATGATTTGTATTCGGATTCGAATTCGAATATAGCGAATACGAATCATCTTTTTCGAATACGAATCACGAATCGAATACATTTTATTTGATTTATATGCACCCCTAGTGATAGGTATATATGTTAAGAACTAGTAAGAATAAAAATAATTTTTTAATTGAAAAATAACTTTGTGGGACAAGAAAAAGAAAAAGAAAAAAGAGGTTTTGAAAGTGAGGGAGTATCAAACAAGGGAGAAAGACCAACATAGGATTAAAACATTGAAAATATACCAAAATAGGATTTGCATGTTTTTATTCTCGAAATAGACTTTAAAATACATTTACATTACCAAACATATTCATGTACATTATCAAAAAACGTAGTAATGTACACATGTACAATTCCACATTACAACCACAGTGTGAAGTTCTATTTCAAAAAAAAAATGAAATTCTTATTTTGATATTTTTCTCTATTTTTAGTCTTATTTAGGTTGATTTTTAATCAAACAATTCTATTTATATACCAACTACCGTCTACAACTGTACATTGATTGTGAAACGTCATAATACAAAAACCTAATTAAGTAATCTCTTACTTTCTGTTAGAGTGCATCCCACATCGGAAGTCCAAGAGTAAAATAATCCGGTATATAAGCTCTTGAGTTAAACTAACTAATCGATTGGATTCAATCTTTTAATGTGGTTCAGTCCAAGTGTCTTATTGCCCAATCCAGTTGTTCATACCCCATCCCAAATTCTATCATGGTATAGGAGCAGGTTTTGGCCCACCTCGTTTGTCAAGGTGTCCATCTAGACGTTCATTCCTAGCGGCACTTAGTCTTTAGCCCAGTTGTCCGTATGGAGTATGTATCCAACGGCCTGTGGCTTGTTTAACACGATTGCTCGTCTGGAAGTCCATACCCAGCGGCTCGTGATCCTTTAGGTGTTAACGCTCAAAAAAAAAAGAGAATGAGAGTTCATTTGCAAGTGGTCTGCCGGTTAGATTCAAAATGGCCCGGTTGTCCACTTGAGGGGAGAGTGTTAGAGTGCATCCCACATCGAAAGTCCAAGAGTAAAATAGTCCGGTATATAAGCTCTTGAGCCCAAATGTCTTATTGTCCAATCCAGTTGTTCATACCCCATCCCAAATTCTATCACTTTCAAAAGATTTTGAAACTATTTTGAATTCAATTTTAAATAATATAATCCCTGTAGATAGTAAATGTAGTTTTTAGATTATATTGTATTTGAAGAATTGTATTTTCCTTGGATTAATTATGTGAGGAGTACATGTATATATATACAACATCTCAATCCTAGTTATGGTAGGAGAGGTATTCTAGGAAAGCTATACAAGTATGGAAACAAATCATAATACAATAATATTAAATATATTTAATATATTTAACATGCTCCCGGCTACGTCGGATGTGCTGGGGGTCGGATACCCAGGCTTTCTCTGAAGTCCAGAAATAAAAGAGAGGGCAGTCCTTTTGTGAAGATGTCGGCGAACTGAGAGGATGAAGGAACATGAAGGACTTTGATCTACCCAAGGGCCACTTTATCGCGTACAAAGTGTATATCAACCTCGACGTGCTTGGTGCGTTGATGTTGCACCGGATTTGATGATAGGTAGACAACACTAACGTTGTCACAGAAGACGAGTGAGGCGCGACGAAGTGGGTGTTGCAGCTCAAGAAGTAGATTCCGGATCCAGCAGGTCTCTGCAACTGCATTGGCAACGGCCCGATATTCTGCCTCGGCACTAGAACGAGAGGTGGTGGCCTGGCGTTTGGAAGACCAGGAAACGAGGTTGTCGCCCAGAAAAACACAATAACCTGATGTGGAGCGTCTGGTGTCAGGGCAGCCAGCCCAATCAGCAT